CAATCGAAAATGTTCAGTCATGTGATCAGTGCTTTTTGAATCTTTTCTTCTCCGAGGGCATTGACAGCACCGTTGCAGCACTGCATAAGGAAAACATCATGACGGTCCTTCTACCATCATTATGCAAACATTGAGGCACAATCATGCACTTAGCCTCAATGACTACAGCAGCATTCTGATATCATTGAGTCACTTTCGTGAAAGGCTGTTACGATAGATTCCCGCTGCAATTTTGCTTTCCGCTGTATTTGATTTTATCAGTTGAAAAATACGACTGTTTTCCTCATTCATGACAATTAGGCCAAAGGCTTCTAATCTGCATCAATAAGGACGATCGCAAGCTCAATCACCGATTTTCTTCATAGCACCGTCATTAATGAACGCAGATTTTTCGAGTGCGCCATCTGCTCTAGAATCTCTCGAAATGACTAACACATTTTATAGTTGTCAATATAGTGAACTCTTAAGAATCGCTAACGGCTTTGATATCCCACGTATTAGGTTGGTGGGTATTTTTGTTACACTTCCGATTTTGATTTTGAGAGAATATCAAGAACTGTCAAAAGATCTCATGTTTAAGGCATGTGGACAGGATTTGAAACCGTACCAGCACATCCGCGCTGGTGGAATTTGTGGCCATTTTTGCTGATGAATTAGATTCTTCTGAGTTGAGCAGAAGTCTGGAAAAAGCGGTATTCTGAAAGAGCATGATCTGTGGTGTTAAGCGAGTGATATGACACATTTTTGCGCCTTTTTCTAAGCCTTTGGAATGTCAAAAGCGTCGTTCTGGCGGTCATGACAATTTGACCGAATAAACTTTAGATAATTTTAAAAACAATTCTAGCTCTCTATATCAACGTTTATGTGATGCACATAAGGAGAAGAGTTTGGATAGTATTTAAATTTTTGGTTAACCTTCCATCCCTCATTTTTGAAAAGCCAGAGACATTAGAGCGCCGCCATAGGAGAGAGTACCGAAATACATTCTTAAAAAAGCAATGGCACAAGTAGACACAAATACCAAAAAAAATAAACTAAAATTTCAGGTTTACAAAACCGTCGTAACTCTTTACTCATTTGTGCATTTGTGGCACCAATCATGCTATAGAATCTCCAATGCCATAGGTATGACGCAGAATTGAGGATTGCAGAAGGTCTTCGGAACTTCTTAGAAAAATTAGGAAAGAGTGTAACAGAAAATCCCCGATAACCTAACATATTTTCTTCAATAGGTAACTCCTCCGACAAAATAATTTTGGAAGAAACATAGTGTTATCTAGGATCGTTGTATCGGTAAAGTCGACTGCACGAAATCGCCCCACTCGATGTAGGCTGAACGCTCGCGAGCGTGCCTTCAATGCGGCTGCCGTGTACGGGCGCTATGATGACTCAAGGGCCGGGCATACTTCACACGATTTCAGTCGCGGCGCGATTTGGCAATATTCCAACTGTCCATAGCTCACTGCAAACACATTTTTGATGTACAGAAGATAGGGCATTCTAATCAATCCACGTAAGTTATACACACTATGCATGTGCAGTTTGCCAGTATTGGATCTGAAGACTTCTGGCGGATTGCCACATCGCGTCGCGACTGAAATCGCGTGAAGTATGCCCGGCCCTTCATGCGCGCGAATGCCAATGTTAGCCCGCCAAAGACACGCGCACGGGCGTTCAATCCGGGCGATTCTATGCAGTCAACTATGCTCGGCATTTTGATAACTATGCTCTGCATTTTGATCCCAATTCATGCTGCTTTACCCGGAAAGGGATGGAGGCGGGAGAAAGAGGTCAGGGATGCTATCCTTTGTAGATGTCGCGGTAATCGCGCAAGAGCGTATCTTTTGTTGTAGTTACACATTATAAAACATATTTCTCGTTTTGTATTATTATGCATACTGATGACTTTCATTGTAGCTAATGTGTGAAGGAAGAAATTTTGGAAAAACCTCTTCAAGCTCTCGTTTATAAGGTCGGCTAAAAAATAACAGGTAACTCTGAAGCTTGTAACTGTTGTCTAGCTATTTTTGTGAGGGGTAGTATCACATCTATACAATCATGCAAGCATTATTCAATTTTCCTATTAGTGGTAGAAGGCAATATGACCTTAATAGCTACTTTTTGAATATCACTGTTTTGATTATCTAAGTCTCGTTTTCAAGCTTTAGCGATTGCACAGACGAGTAATTTGATTATTGGATACACATAGCTTTTGAATACGTGGCAAACCACAATAAGGTTAAGAAGGTCTGCGGGCCATTTATGCAGCCAAAAATGTGAGAATTTTCAGGCATTTGCGCGCGGAGGGCAATTTCTGGTCGGTCCAGACCGACTAAATCTAATTTTATGACAATGCAATGGTTGGGTAGTTTTGTAGACAGGTTTTTTTGGGCAGCAGCCACACCTCTTTTTTTCTACAATTTCGAGGTCGTAGACCCGCAAAAATTTTTGGAAACATTATAAAAAATTTAAAGTTAATACCACGCACCTTCATTCGAAAAACTTTCTTGTTTCCCGTTCCCCGAGCGGAAATCCCAACAACGCCGCTGGCGCCACATGTTTATTTGGCACTCACTTCAGTGTTTGGAGCATGTGATTTCGAAAATTTAATGAAATTTGCTACTTTATTTTCCTTGGAGCATTTCGTCGTCGTCATTAAAGAAATGTTTTTGAACAAATGTAGGACTGTATAATTCTTTTTGATTCACTATTTTTGAGCCTATATCATAGTACATAAAATTTGCAACATTTCCACAAATTGTTGGAAACGACGAAAATTATTTTCTAATCATATTAGGTTTGATAACATCAGTGAAAGTGCATTGTTTATTATGCATGCAATGCCAGCATATCGTTCTAGCAAGGTCAAAATTTATTTAAATAGGTTCCGAAGAACAAAATTCTTTCATACTAGGCAGAACGCGCTCACTTAATCAACATTTTTGCACTTTGCCAGTTTTCAGAGTCAACCATGTAGGAAGGTTACGTTAGCGTCAGTTGATGTTTACGTTGTATTTATTTGTCTTTAATCGCATAGTAAGGACGATGTGCAATAATGAGCGTAGCTTTTTGTACATTGTCACAAACACATCAAGTCATGCTCGCAAATGCTTTCACTGCCAATGATGAAGAGTTGTTGGGTGCAGAATCGCGCAGTTGCTAAAATCGCCTAAATTACATCTTCGTCACTTGCCTTACCGAGCTGACTTTACGTTCCTAATGGTGTTTTAGCTGCTTTCTATTTAGCATAGGAGCTGTTTGTCTTACATATAAAGCTGCGGACGTCTGCGACAAAGCACGCAGCTCTACACATTACAGTCATTATATCTGAATTCGTACCTACGCGAGATGAGTTTCTTACTCTCTGTTTGTCTGTCTGTCTGTATGTATGGTCTGTACGTACCGATCCTTATAGATATTTATTTCTGAAACGATTCTGAAAACTTGGCACACATACACTCCGGGTGGGCGGGTTTCGCAAGCTACTTTTTTCACCGATTGATATCGTTTTTATCTGTTTTTTTTTGCAAAGTTTGAGCTACGGGGCTGGGTCTGTGCGGAGAAGGGGGGGGGGGGGTCAATGAGCATTCTGATTACGAGAATACAGTGGAGGCAAGGTACTGGCATGTAAAACGGGACTGGGACAGTAAATGTTGTACGAAGATAGGACATGGTGATTTCTGTTATAGCATGTTGTCAGGTCCGGGCGGAGCCCGATATGGCAGCTAGTTGTGAAGTAACCGGTGACTTCCCTTCGGAGCGTTATTCTTGATTTTTTTTGCGAAATATAAGCTACGAGGATGGAGCTGGTACAGAGGGGCAATGAGCATGCTGATCACGTAAATTGATTTAAGACTCATTGATCATCTCTATCGATTCCGTTGGTATTGGAAAATTTGAGTCGGCGCTAACCGTTTGTAAATATACGCGTCACTTCTATCGATTCCTTTTTTTGAAAAGTTTAAGCTACAAGTTTGAGTGGTTGCACAAAGGGGGGGGGGAGTAAGTGAGTGTACTAATTAAGAGAACACGGAGGCGGAAGAACTGGTATAAAGGCAGACAAATTTTGTGTCGATGGGATGGACTGGTGAGTTTTATCAAGCTATGTTGAAAGGGACCAAGCAAAGCCGGGTCTTTCAACTAGTATTCTCTTGAACCTCTTAATGAAAAGGCTTTGAAACATTCTCATAGGTTGCTTTTTCCTTTCGCTTTGTAAATGGGAGAGCGTGTGCGTAGCTGGATCTCATTATTACCTTTGACAGCGTTTACTTAAAAAGTCTTGCTCCTGCTTGTGGATAGAAGAGCGTATTGGTAAGTGGGTCCTGCCGGTACGTTTCTTTTTCATAAATACCGGTCCGTAAACGACTCGTAGCATTTTGAGGAAGGCTTCGTTTTCTTCAAGAGACTGTTTTTCAAAGGTAGGTAGAGGACTATATGTTGTCGGATGTAGAAGGGTCCCGCGCGGACTTCTTGCAGAAACGACCTGGGTGCGTATTTTTGCAGATGACTGCGGGAGCCGCCCCAATTCGGCCACATATAGTCCTGTATAGGCGCGCTGGGCTCGGAGAGCAACACTATTGCGTTCATTGTAGGCAGTTCATGAATGGAAAAGGCGCAGGTTAAACAAGCAGCGAGAATACACTAAGAAAGAGGAGTGACGCGCAGTACAACCCTGCGCGGACGGCCTATAGATTCTAACAGGTTTTTTTCCCCTTTCACAGCTTTGTACTAGTGATGTGCTTCGTAAATTGTTATCCATATATGATGTATATTGTAAACATGCACACAAAGCTTAGCAACCATAGTGAAGGTTCTGGCAAAAAAGGGCTCACTTTCTTTTAGAACCGTGGAAATATCCTCTCGCATGGCTTGACTCCATTTATTTTTTCAAAGAATACGAAGAACCAAATATCCATAAGAACAATCCTGCTGCTGCCTGCAGAATCAATGATTTGAAAGTTACGCCGCATAGTAAATATTCATATCACCTTTGTTTTTAGATGAGACAGAGTGTTGCAGCCGTGGTTGTATCGCTAGCAATCATCTCAGCTGTTATGGTATATCAGCATCGCATTTATCTGGATATGCTGAGATCTATGTATAGTAGTCTGTCAACACATGCACAAAATGAAAGTTCCAAAGGTTGTGGTTTTTTCTTCTCTGCTATATAGTGAATAACGAAGTTTCTTCGTATTGTTATTATTAAGAAGGAACCGACAGCTGGGTTAGAGATTATTACTCCAAGCAGGCAGCAGACAGGATTCGTGCGTTGGATGCGATCAGCAACGAATCAGCGAATTTCGCAGTTCTCTACAATGTGCTTGTCCCAGAGGTCAAATTCCATTTTTAAATGAACTATGTATTGCCTGAAAGCCCATTTACTGCATTTTTTTGAAGCTTCTAGTACGGATATTTTTGAAAGTGCTCCAAGCAGCAAATGGCTGCTGCTATGAAGTTACTTAAACTACCTGCTGAAGGTAAACAATGCTACTGGAACCTACCAGATCTAATAATATCAGTTTGTAGCTCCTTAAAACAGAAGAAGTACTGCAAAGTTTAATACGAAGCAAATCATCACAAAGTTAATTGTTAAACAAACATCTTAATAAACTGTCCCTTTATCTTGGATATCAATCGTTTTGCCAATTACCTTTAGGAAGAATTCTGCCAGCGATTACAACTAAAAACAAAGACGTAACCACTTACAAGCAGGCAACAACCATTCTGTCTTCAATGTATGCAAGATTCGTCATGCTATGACGTTTCTTACTTGGCAACGAATTTGCGCCTATATGCTATTTCGGAGTTGATATCAAAGCTCCGGCGGTTCGGGCCCTTACGGCCGCCTCGGGGCTTGCGCAAATTTCGCAAATGTATTTTAAGATTTTTCACTTCAGTGGCAAGGTTCCGAACCTCTGAAACTATGGCACTTCCACTGAGACACCCTATGCGTGAATCGCAAAGTGTCAACATATTTGGATAACGGTGGCGGTCCCAGGATTTCCGTCCGGGGGGGGGGGGGGTCGGAAAAATTTTTTTTCAAATGAAGGTGCGTGGCCTTAGCCACGCACTCCGAAAAAATGTTGGGGTGCTTCTAAATATTTTCCAAGGCCCAAGACCCCTAAAATCCAGAATAAGGGGCGTGGCGTCAGCCACGCCCGCAAAAAAATGTTTTTATAAGGCTAATTTGCATTTATTAGGTTGTCTGGAAATTAATGTCCGTTTTATATTCAACCGTAATAAATCATACATTTCTCAAATCTAAATAGGTTGCAAAGCATCATTCGATAGAGCAAAGCAAGCTCTACAAAGTGGCTATCATGATCTTGCAGCAGCTCTCATTAATCTTGAGTTTTGAGCCAAAAACTAAAAAGATTCAGCTGCCCGAAAAATTCAGAAAAATCGTAACTCAGTTCATAAAAATCTTACAAAAATTCTAACTAGCTCACGTAAACACTATCTCTGTAAGACATCTATATACGCCGTTGCCGTCTTTTTCACTTTCTAGAAATCAAAAAAAACGAAAATTTTTGTGCATCCGCCAAAGTGATGCTGTGCTGTCTCCCACATGAGTAGTTGTAAACTACAAACCTGTAGAAGTAGAAAAGTAAATTTTCAGCTCTCTACAAGCTTTGGTTCTCGAGAAATGTGAAATGTCGATTATGGCTTTCCCTAATCAGGTGGTCCAAACTAAAATGCAAATTTCTCAAGAACCAAAGCTTGTAGAGAGTTGAAAATTTGCGTTTGCACTTCTACAGGTTTGTAGTATACAACTACTCATGTGAGGACAGCACAGCATCACTTTGGCAAATGCAGAAAAATGTCCGTTTTCTTGATTATTAAAAGGTGAAGATAGACGGCAACGGTGTATATAGATGTCTTATGTGGATAGTGCTCACTTGAGTTAGTTAGAACTTTGTGGGGTTTTTATGAACTGAGTTATGATTTTTCTCAGTTTTTCGGACAGCTAAATCTTCTCAGTTTTTAGCTCAAAACTCAAGATATGAGAGCTGCTGCAAAATCATAATAGCCACTTTGTGGAGCTTGGTTTGCTCTATCGAATAGTACCTTGCAACCTATTCAGAAGTGAGAAGCGTATGACTTATTACGGTTGGAATTCGAAACGGACATTGATTTCCGGACACCTAATATAAAAAAATTTTAAAAATTATTTTGATTATTTACGAAAATAAACAAATCACTTGCGCAATTTTATAACCCATATAAGTAATTTTTAGGAATTTCGCGACCCATCCTTCCCCCCCCCTCCTCCCGCCCTCCCCCTCGGTCCACCACTGGTGAATAAGTAGCAAAGATCTCAATGACGAACGATGTAAAATAACATTCGCAATATCTCTTTTATAGGTATTTTGTCGAGATCTTGTCCGAGTTGGAAATGTTGTGGATGGTGGAAAGTTTGTGTGTAATCCGAAAGCGATGCCGAAAGGGAACTGCAGGTAAAAATTTGCTTTGTATGGATGTTCTTCCAGCTTTGAAAGTAAAGCAGTAAAATAATTATCTTGCAGACAGTATCATGTACAGCGTCAACGGCCTTCTCTCTCTCTCCTCTCTCTCTCTCTCTCTCTCTCTCTCTTTCTTTCTCTGATGTTTCGTTCACACTTCGAAACAGGTAGTTCGGACTTCGAACGTAAAAGTATATGCGTTTTGAATCCACTGCCTGTTGTAAACTATAGTCAAGTATGGAGGCGAAAAATTCTATGGGATGGCACAACACCCCTTGGATTTTAAAAAGAGTATACTACGTTCTCAAATGTGGCGGATCCCTACTTGATGTAAACGTGAGCAGACATGAGCGCATCGCTGCGCATGTGCCGCGTAAAGCGGCTTCTCTTACGATTATGGTACAATGCTCCCTCCTTCCCCTGGAAAGAGTTCCAAGCGGACTCCATTGGTGTGACTGCCTTCACAGCAATCATGGAGCTACTGCACACATGACAGATTGAATAGTCGCAATTTTGTCTGTCCAGACATATGGTCTTATAAACTACCCTTGTCACAACGCCGTAAGGACTTGAAGGCAGTGTCCAGACAGACTTTTTTTTATGGAAATTGCACGCGGAACTGTCTCTGGAACATAACTGAGACGCTGCCTATGTGATAAAGGCATTTGAACCTAAGCGCACAACGCAAGGTTGTGCACTCACGGCTTAAACGCTCACTTTCAAATGGGACTCTGTTACCTATTTGGCGGACGACCTGCATCCGTTTGTATGTTATCGCATGAAAAACTTCCGCCCTCGTGTTGACTGCCCGCGCAGAAGCAAAGTCAATGCAAGTTGCCCTTTTAGTTCGCCAGCGGAGACAGTTGCCTGAACGTCGCTTTGGATGACCTAATTTTGCTGCATTTGATAAAGCCGCCAATTTTTTGGACTTTATCAGGAATCTACGGATATCCATTATACAGAACTTTTAGCGGTTAACCACGAAAACACGTGGCGCGTCCTGAGTTGGCGGATTTGGGGTTTATTTTTGATTGCAAATCAAAAGCGATTTCGCACTTGTTCGCAGCAAGCGGATCCCATGGATCCCGTGCATCCGTGAAAGCTTGCAGGATTTTCCATGGAGATCACAATCCCAAATTTCTTCTTCGCTGATCTGGCTAGCGCAGATGGTGCAGCGGCTATCCCAAGTGATTGACCTCCCTCGTAACGGTTTCCGCGCAAAAGTATGCTGTAGCCTCCAGGCGCCCGGCCTAGGTTTTTTTTGTCACACTATTAGCCTTGAACCCAACCTATGGGATGCACGAAGCACCATATCTCGTGTGTCGGTTCTGAGATGTCTAGTTCGTTCCTCAACAGTTCCTCAATAGTTCCTCAACAGCTTCTCGACAGTCAGCTATTCGCTGTTCTATATTAGCTCTTCTGTACTACTCTTATTCTCTGTATTTGCTCAGCTTCTTCTTGTGGTTTGTCATTTTGTGATAAACCATTTATATTTTACCAGTTGTTCTGCTAAGTCAGTGGAACCTGCGGTCTAGACCGTCCTACCGCCACTATGCAGGTCAATGCAGGTTCTAAGTACTCAGACAATTGCCGGGGACAGGCGGGCGCGTTGCTGAACTTTTGCATTGTTGAAATCGCAAATTCCAGGAAAATGGTCAGCGAGTTTTTGAGAGACCGCCGATTGAGTATCTCGCTCACCTTTTGCAGATTTATTGCTGAATCCCTGAGGAATCGAGAAGTCAGCAAGCGGTCTTCCGAAAAGTCCTGATTGCTTTCCGATAAATCCGCGAGCGGGGTGCAAGAAATCAGCCATCTAATTTTGCGGTGCCCGCCTGCCCCCGGCGATTGTCTGAGTATGGGGAATACGACGCGTTGAATGGGTTTACTAGTGTAAGAGCCGGATATTGTGAAAATCATAATAAAATGATGTTGTTATCCAATTGTACATATGATCATGTATGTCTGAGGATTGAAAGAGTAAAATGGATGGAGTTTTTTTGTTTTTGTGCTTGCTCGTTGTTCACCCATTTGCGCGTGTGCATGCATGTGTATGTATGCGACGCGCGAGAGCTTAAAGGCAGTGTCCCACCAGACTGGGGATATCTGGCTCTCGTAATGATGTGATAGTAGACCCCCTACCTAAGCGATGACTGAAGTTCGGAGCGAAAAAGGGGTCTACCAAATGAAATTTGCTGAAATTTGAAATTTGAAATTTGCTCCGAAAGTGGGCCGGATCTCACGGTAGGGCCGAACGCCGCCCACTCGGCAATATTGATTTGCAGGGCCAGAGTGCGTATAGCGCACACATTATGAGCGCAGAGACCGCAACGGCTCTGCGTCTATACCTTGCATGCACCTCGCACTCGCCCGTGAAGCCAGGTACCCCCAGTCTGGTGGGACGCTGCCTTTAAAGACATCGGCAAAACTCAACAACTCAGGATTTTGACACGATAGGGTCCTTATCGCCTATGTATGAAAACGGTGCAATCCCGGTTGCACAGCCTGCCTCCCCTGCCGACAAAATGGCTCTCAAACTTACACGCGCAGGCCAATCTTACACGCTCCCGGACGAGTTGGCAATTTCCTCTTCAACATTAGAGGCTGCCCGCCGCAATGCTATAACCATTGCGTCACGCAAGGATCCAGCACCATCACCCTTGTTCCACTCGTCCATTAAGAAAAAAGGGCATTGAAAAACGCTCGTTGCTGGCTTAAAAACGTTTTTGCCGTTTTTAAGCTCGCAGAAGTGCATTTTCGGGTTCAGTGTGTTGAATAACCTCAGGTGAGTAAAAATTTGACTAGGTTGCGATTTGCCAAGCCACTGCCTTTAAGCGGCGAAGCTTGTGTGCGTGTCGAAAAGCGGTTTTGAAAATGTACAGTTTGTGTAGATTCCTAGCGTACTCAGTCCCAGGTTTTTAGCGTATGGAGCGAAGGTGACTGGCAGCTGCGCTCTAAAGTGACCACGGAAATTTACCTCGACGTTACTCCAAACTTTTGCTTCCGATGTCAGTTTAGCTCGACTAAACAAGACGTTTATCACAGACTGCTTTTTGCCATTAGTCCAAATCGTGTTAATTCTAGCAAACCTCACTCAAGAAGCTGACAGCTGTGAATGTTAGAGTATTTGCGAATTCTATGCGATGAACGTCTGTAGACCTCAACGAGTCTACCACTTCTTTGCAAACTCACGTTCACAACTTGAAATGCAATTCTTGCTGATGTGTGAGGTAAATAAAATTATTGACGATGACACTAGCCACTACAATTTTTTAAAGACTAAACTGAAGACGGATATGTGAAGGATATGTAGTGCCTTGAAGCTGTAATTATGATCGTTTTTGATTTACGATTCCAATTTTCGAATCATGTTGCAAATTTGCGAAGCTATCCAAGTATTTGAAGGCCACAGCTAATATCGACAAGGTATTGAAATTCTATAGATGAAACAAATAACTTTTGAAGGAAGATGCGTTTTGAAAATAAGTCTAATTGATAGACTGAAATAATTTTATAGATTTTGCTACCTAACTTAGGTTGGCGCGAGTGATATAACTTATTCAATTAATCCGAATCAATCGAATTATCTTGATTTATCAAAACCGGTTACCAACAAATCATTTTTTTGCAGCGTTTATTCGTTGGGGTTAAGAGAAGACATTTCCTTCGATCGTGATATCCAAGAATTCAACAATTCAACTTGCAGAATATACGGATATGACATGGTATTGCGTTTTCTGATACACCCCCGTATCCTTTGAAGTCATTGTTCATTAGACATCTCAGTCAAAAGCAGTCATCGACGAATATCATGCCATCAACGGAAAAATTCGAACGCTTGTGATAGGATCAAGTACCAATGCTTCAGAAAATGTGTACTTCCTTGGTAAGCGTGCAATCCAATTTCATTGCACTATTTATTACTTATCAATACCATCACCGCATACAACGCAAACAGATATACGATATTTTAGAAACTAAATACTCTGCTAACAGGGGAGGGAAACTTGGATGCCGTAGCCATTCATGATGATCTTTATACCAAAAAATGCGCTTTTGAATGCTGGTTCGTAGACTGTCTTTCATATCTGCGAAACGATAATCTGAATGGAGTTATGATTTTTTTTTCATTAAAAAAATTGTGTTTCTGCGGAGGGTCAAAATCATCAATAAAAAATTTTCTCTCCTTTCCAAATGCTAAGTATGATCCAGGTAGTCTAAATAAATATTACTACGTCTAAAATTTTCTTCAGTAGCATCAAACGGTAGGCTAGATCAAATTTGGTGATTTTTACTATCCAAAAGTAGGCTAAATTTTCAAGTAAAAAAGTTCATAACTTTCTTCAAAAGATCGTTTCGCAGATTTCGAGCATAGATTCAGAATCTGCATTCGAAGGCGCATTTTTTGGTGTAAAAATCATTAGGAATGGCCGCGGCATCCAACTATCCTTCCCTTGTAAGAGCGCTTAGGTAAATTTGGATTTTTGTGGTTTCGACCAGAGACCTGTCGATACACTATGATGACGATTATCTTTCCTAACTTGTGTGCAACATCTCCTTCATCCCATTCTCTATAAGCCCTTCTCTGCCTGTACTAAGGTTTCACTCAGCATGCTTCAGCGCAAATTCTACAGATTCGACCAACTCGAAAGTTTTGATAGGTATTCTATAAGTTGACACAGCGCGCTCCTAACGTTCCATATATTCCTCAAAATATGGGATGTTTGTATTTTCAGACGATATGGTGCGCTCCAGTCAGTACCACTGTGATCTAAACGTGGTTGTAAATAAAATGATACCTCAATCAGTATCTCACCCAATCATTATGTAATACGTATGACATGTCTATTTCCACACTGTTTGACAATTATAAGACAGCTTTGGATACATTGCATTTATCGAAAAAGAGACGCAAAAAGTGATTTTTTTGACTGATCGGGCCACAGGACCCTTTCATTGCTTCATAAAGCCTATTTGAGATGCTTCTTACAAATTCTCGCTAAGCTTCGAAAGTGTTGTTCCATGCGTCTGTGACAATTTATTCGTCTCTTGCAAAGCTTCATGCTGCGTGCCTGCATGAAAAGCCATAGCAGTATTTTTCAAATCTCTTTTATTTATAAATTCATTTAGTACACAAAAGTGCGCCGAAACAGAAAAAAAAGAAGAAGGAAAAAACACAATAGAGAACACAGAAACTGAGACCAGATCACTTTGTCCCTTGCTGGATTGATCAGGTCATTCTGTAAGATTTGGGACAGAAGTCGGTACGGTGAACATTGCAAAAGATGTAAGAGTGTTAATGAAGAACAGCATTGATTAACCTTTCTGCATGAGCAAATGCGTTGTACTGCTGCGAAACCTAGTGTTGTATTTTGCGCTTGTGGAAATATAGTCGCAGGGTCTTTCAGTATCTCTTGTCTCTGCGCTTTATTCTGACTGGGCTGCAAACCTTGCATCATAGTGAAATTACTGGATCTCTTTCCAATTACGGATGAATTTTCGGCAAGAAAAGCTCGTTTTCCTTTTCTATCCCCGTTCCTTAATTCCGCTCAATTGTGTACTTGTCTCCTTTGCATTAGATAGCGCACAACGCGCAAGTCCTTCAGTGACTTTAAGTCTCTAACCTTGACGAGCTCTGAGACAATATGTGCATTTCGTATTACCATTCAAAAGATTCTCTGCGCTTGTTAATTAGTTACCAATGCAACCAATACACAGGCCCTGCTTCGCTTTCACCTTTTTGGAAAATTAGTCAGCAGCGTTCATTCCAATGAACATCCATTGGATCGTTAAGTTATCGAAAACAAGGTGCAAGATATAAGAATTGTAGAGCGTGCAATGTCTCTATTGTTGTAAACGACAACAAAATCAATGAACTTGAGTGTTGAGAATGTCTTAAATGAACTTTGAATTTTGCTCACATTAGATTTGTCACCTTTAACTATGTGCTTGTCTTGAACATAGAGCTTGCATATTGAGTTCGTTTCAGTAGAGAAAGAAATGTGAACTGGCGATTGTTATAGCATTTCGGTCATGTCTTGGAAAGACTTGAAATTTAGTCTTGCTTGGAAAAGTTATTCAAAGAGCAGTGGCGTACCGAGGGGTGGCGGGGGGGGGGGGGCGCGCCCCCCCCCCCCCCCGAGAATGGGTCGCGAAATTCTTGAAAACTACCTATATGGGTTATAAAAATGTGCAATTGACTTGTTTATTTTTGTAAATAATAAAATAATTTTTAAAAATTTTTCAAAATTCAAATTAGCCTTGTAAAAAAAATTTTTTCGGGGGCGTGGCTAACGCCACGCCCCCTTTTTCCGGATTTTAGGGGTCGGGGACCCGCAAAAATTTTGATAAGCACCCCAAAAAATTTTTCGGAGTGCGTGGCTAACGCCACGCACCTTCATTAGAAATTTTTTTGTCGCGCCCCCCCCCCCCTTTGTCGCGCCCCCCCCCCCCCCGAGCCGAAATCCTGGGTACGCCACTGTCAAAGAGTTTATGACGATAGCGCATTCTTCAGTGCCTAAAAAAACCAAAAAAATTTGAAATTTATACCTCAAGCAAAGGCGCTTTTTACTTTCTCAGAAAACCGCGCATATGGCTTGTGACACGTTAACGAAGGTTTAGGACGGTTACCATTGTGACGAGTGTGAGTAATATGAGTATTTATTCAAGTAAAATGTGTTTCAGGTGACCTTTTGTTGAATAATGGCGACACTTACGCGGAATTTCTCAAAATGGACATAGAGGGAGCCGAACACTACACTCTAATACCTTTCCTGAAGTTATACAGTGTTTGTCAGGTATGTATCTACCATTTTTTTTTATAAAATGTTCTAATGTCTCCAGTATTAAAAGATAGAACGCCTTTGTTTTACCAAGTTATATGGTTGAAATGCATATGATGAGGTCTGAAGGCAGCGTTTGATCCAACATAAACTCACTTGGCTACCATATTCAGTACGGCCTCAACCAAGAACTACTGCGCAGTCACAATTTCCAAAATCAGGAGCAAAAAGCTGCTTACAGCAGAACTTAATTAAATTCTTAACCCCGCTTACTTCCTTCGACGCCAATCCCCTCAAACGAAATCTCCTCAGCGGACTTTCATATGGCAAACATAATCCAACACATACTTGTCACCGCTTGATAATTGCTTTCGACATGGGTGACGCCGGAAGATATCGTCCCTTCGCGAAATAAGAAAAGAGGGATTGACTTCCATTTTCGATTGGAGACAACAATGAAAGTCGAAGAAAAACCCCAACTTTTCTTAAAATTTCATGTAGTGGCAACAATCCAGCGTGAGGCAAAAGCGCTTTGGTTGTGCTTTTAGTAGCGTTGAAAAACTTGTTGAATGTCACGGTGCAGCCTATTTTGTTTTCGCTATAAAGCCGCACTGCCATGTCTCCGCCTTTGTTTCAATCTGGGGGTCGAAGAGGTGGACATTTTGAGAATCGTAGGTTCTGTAACAGTTTTGTAAGCTAAAAACGTAGCTGATTTTCATAGCGGTAAAGTGTGGACAAAAATGCTGAATGTGGAGGTCCAACAAGTTCATCCACATTATCAGAATGCCGCAAAATTCCACTATACGAACCTGAGACGATCATGTAATTCATTCGACTGATTTGAATGAGTGGAAAGGCCTGAGCATACCTTGCAGCAATGCATTAATATCTTGTAACTCGTCATTAGCGTACCGAGTATGCGAAACATAGGCCTGTAGTGAAGCTCAATTAGTAAGCTTTTCTTCCGCTCTTCAAATCTGGCCTATCCAAAATCTCAGATCATCAATAATTTTTAGGTGCTTCTGCAGATATATTAACATAATTATTGTGACTGCAGTAAACAGCGCGAGGAAAATTTCATAACTGAGGTTGAAGCTACAGAATTGGTTTCCAAGTGTACGAGAAAGCCATGAAAACTATTTGACGCGATAAGGCTGTATGTAATCGGACTACCGCTCAATCGACTTGATAAAGAAATGGCAATTCTCATTTGCATATGTAATTTGGAATGCGACATGCCGCAACCCACCTGTACCACCCGATGCGACAACGACAATGATTCTACTAATACCATACCTTGCGCATTTACAGGGCTCCTAAATTGCAGAGTCGTTTACACCAGCGGTCGCGCGACCGCGTCGCGCCCGGGCATTTTTCCGGCGCCGGCGCCATCGATCGGGGCGGCGCCATTGATGCCCGCGCGCGACGCGGTCGCGCGACCGCTGGTGCAAACGACTCTGCAATTTAGGAGCCCTGTAGTTACGACACTGCCTGTTGAGAAGCAAAATTAGGAACATATGTGGATTAGGAGCTTATGGAATGCTTCAAATCTTTGGAAATCAGTCACCAACACTAGTTTCAATACGAAATGTTGATGCAGAACACACCTTCTATAGCTCAAGCTAGCAAGCAGACGTCCACGCTTGTGATGCCTCCCCTTTTTTTGCCATCCAGACAAGCACAATTATGACAGTTTAAAGGAGAAACATTAGAAAGTTTCGTTCAGTCTACAAAAAGCGCGCAGCAAAGAAGAGTTAGCATCAGCTTACAAAGCGGAATTTTAGGTTTTTAATATGGCACATCACCCTACTTTTACGAGTACACGATGCACCTTCGAATTTTTAAGCGAGCCTTTAGGTCGCCTCGCTGTATTTCGGAAAACGAAATTTATGCCGCACGACACTCTTAAGCAATGCGCACTGCGTAGAATCCTTTAATTGCAAAATTTGTTGCTATGTTCAGACATGTCGAATTTCAAGAAAACCATTTGCGCCTTATACTATGATACTAAGGTGATTTTTTCCCACTAGACATAAGTACGTTAATATTGACAAGTGCGAAAAGGAAAACAGCGAAAGCGAAGAAGTGAAGAAATTCTTGCTCAAGGTCCGTTACCTTTCAAGCAGAACGGCAGCGGGCTCAAATTTTTCTCCTATCGGTCAAAATGCTCAACGTCGTCTCAACGGCTCGGCAAAAAGTCGGACACGTGCCGATCGGAAATCAGATTCGCTCTCTAGTCATGTGCTGCACATTCTATTTGAGTTCGTTCGATGCTCCTCTTTGCTAAAGCCAGAAGTAAAAGTAAAAATTTCGATTCAAATTAAACCGACGTTAAATGAACAAGTTGATGCATACAATCTACAAATATTGTCAAATGAAAACTTTTTTCCAAAAATTCGATTGTCACACTGACAGAAATTGCGCTTTCTAGCGTTTGTGACGTTAAAGATAGATTTTTTTCTATAGTTTTTCTACAAGCTGCAAATCCCAATAAATTTTCTTTTCAGCTCTTTTTAGAAGTGCATCATTACAAGCCAATAAATCATGTTAAGCTTTTGCAGCAGATAGCCAGGTAAGTTGTGAACTATTTCTTATGCTATGTGGTTATATCTTAGATTTCTAGGCTGGATTATGCTCTCTTCTTTTACGAAGTCAATGGGGACTCATTACAAGCTTGTGAATACTCGTTTATTCACCTTACCTGCATGAAGCGATATGGAGTTTCAATGTTGAAACTTTATCTGAAATTTATTAAGTTGCCATAGAAGAGAACAAGATCATTCTAAGGCACTTACAAAATATTGAGTTAGGTACTTTCTTAACTTGTTTGCTTATCTTCTACCCTCTTTTCAGTTCTGATTCTACACTCTTTTCAATTTTTGATTTTATGGCCGCCATTTTTACGTGAAGCTAACCTCCCCAGAATCATCCAATCCTAAATGCAGATTGATGTTGAACTCTCGGTAGCTTTGTGCTACCCTGTTTTGCATGGTTTATGAGAGCTTTGAGCAAACTTTGAAGTATTTTACTCCATATTTCTCTTTATGAACGCTTGCAAACATTATATCATTCCTTCCACAACTGCAGATATCCCTCAGAGACCGAATGCAGACATTACGCGCTTTCTGTGTGTGAGAAAACAAAACTTCAATTTTTTTTCAGCGCCAGGTGAAATATTTTCTCCTTACCGGGATGGTTTCTATAAGCATGTATGTTAGGCTCATCATCAAGTGTACGAATTTATAAACAAGTATATAGTACTTGTGATGCGTTTGTAGCAAAAATTATTGAATAAAGTATTGGTAGAACATTTGTTTTCGCTTCATTCCTGGTAAGAAGTGCAAGGCTAGATGTGATTGTCTTTTTTGCAGATTTTCAACAGGTTGTAAATTTGTCAACTTTTCTACCTTCAAATGGAAATAAAAGCATTAGCAATTGCATATAGCGAGAAATCAAAACTTTTTGACCCACATTTCTGAACGTAAATCAGCTGGTTTGGATGAATGATTGAAAAATGCTGTCTAGAATTGGAGATGAATTGGAGATGGAAATGGATTTGAAGTTGTTGGAATTGGAGATGTTGGTGAATTCAGAATTGAAAACAGAATTGGAGATGATGGTGCACCCGACAATTGATAAGCCTTATACTTGAATTGCGTACAATCAATATAATCAATCACCGACATAGCTCATTTGAATAATTTGCACAGCTCATGTCACTTTCGATCCGTCGAAATTTCAACTTAGCTAGTACTAAGTTCTTGAAAGCCTAGGTAGTTGTTGTAAGCTAGGATGCGAAATGAGAGGAAATGATAACTTAGAAAGTTTATAGGGGTTATTCGTTTTCAAAACTTTGTAGAAGGTCATTTACCCGAAGTAGGTTTTAACGGTACTGATGGCAACCTATTGCACCAGAGAAAATCAACAGCTATTAAAAAGTCATAGTGTAAAGACAAAGACGGTGAATATTCACCTAACAAACGCCCATTACAATGTGGCCACATACTGCTACAGAGCATTCTTTTTAGTTTCGTGAAAACTCTTGAAAACCACAATATAGTGGTTTGTGTTTGTTTTATTTTTTTGTTTGATTGTTTTCGCCTTTTCTTTTGAAGACGATAGTAAGCATGGCTTCTGCTTTTGGCGTGCAGTGCTCCTGAATGAAGAAAAGCAGTCCGCCTCATTTTCTATTAGCGGTGTAGACTCTCCGAAGGTTGTTGGACTCAGAATGCAACAAGTGTGACACAATGGTTTGCGGACTCCGGAACTGCGATTGGATGGGCGCGGGCATTACTGAAGGGGAGAGGTGCAGGCTATGGAGTTCTCGCGCCTCTTCGTCAGTCCGGAGCGATTTTCTCGCTTTCAAAGCAACTTGAGCATTGGCTTGTTAGAGGATTCTATTATCACATGCATTTCGACTTCATTTTTGAATCAGGGACACAAGAAGGCCGCGAAACGACAAACATACAGAAGTCGAGAATCTGGGTGTGTGCGCTGGTTCCTTGGCCGTGCTTTGGCCTGGACTGAGGAGAAATAGCGCCTAATTGGGAGTATTTGACTCCTTTGTTATACAGACCACATGTTGTAGTTTCTTGAACAGACGACGTGCAGGTATTAGTGCAGTGAGAGAATGCTATTCATGATAGGCGTGGCAATATATGTAAGTACTTATTCAATAAACATATTTATATCACAGCAGGTCATGCTTATGACATAAGCTTTAGATACTTTGAGAGCAGATAGTGTACAAGAAAGAAGGTGACGATATTATCGGCACGCTCTGATTTCGGTGGTTCCTTGTGTTATGTAGAACATACGAAGCTATAGTGGCTTTATTGAGCCAGAGGACGTACACGAGTTAGTGCAGTGGTGGAATGCTAAATGATGGGCGTGGCCATATATGACAGTAAGTATCCGGTCAATAAACAAATTTTCGTACATACTTTGAAAGCAGTAACATATAGGCTGCGTGACGAAGGCGCAATGTCTTTGAACGCGAGGCTTTACTAGCCGCAAAACGAGTGCGACGCTGGATTTACAAAGGTAATGATTATACGCTCGCGTCGCTTTCGCGCTCGCTCAACTGACACTGCTTCTGTGCCTTCGTCATGTAGTCTTTACACAAAGAAGGTACCGATGTTGTCGGCGCAGGATGGATGCTGCTTTTGATAGGCGTGGTTGAGTAACGTATACATCCAACGAGTAAACACTTATATCGCAGTAGATCATGCTTATAAGGGAAGGATACCAACATTAGTCGGCGTTTGAAGATGTGATGTATATCAATAAACGCGCCTTTGAACGCTGATTTCAAATCTGCTTTCCTTTTTTGCGCAGTAGGTTTTGGAAAAAAGTTATGAGCATTTGAAGCATTTGTCCAAATTTGTCAAGCATTGTATGGCTTAAAATCAACGAAAAGCTCTAGTACAAAACCTATGCGACTTCCATCGGCTCTGTTCCTTCCTTGCAAACAATATACTCAATACAAAACTGATTTCCCACTTTCCGGTGTTTTTGTACAGCTTTTCGCTAATATTATGCCATCTACACCTTGACAAGTTTGGACATTCAAACGCTTATTACTTCTTTCGAAAACTTGTTCTGCAGAAAAGGGAAATCTGACTTGAAATCAGCGTTTAAAGGCTCGTCTACTAATATACATCTCATCTTCGATCGCCGACTAATGTTAGTATCCTTCCCTTGTTAGCAAGATCTTTATGACCAGATCGAGCAAGAGGTGTGGCACACAAGCGCCGGATACGACCCCCCCCCCCTTCACTATCCCTTCACTCATCATCATCGTTTGCCTTCCGTAAGGATGACATAAAGGCTCTGCCATGCTAATCAGGCACATACGTAATTATATCATCACGTCAAATAACCTCCATGTGCCAAATTTTAGCAAATTCTGGGGGTTTCCAATAATGGACCACCCAAGTGAAGTGGTCATTTTCAAACATGATAAAGTGTATTTCAAAAGTGAATCAGCTGACTCTTTTTGTACTCAGTACAAAGCACTACTTCACATTTACTTACAACATTTATCCTGCTTTGCATAACCATCAAACTATGGAATTAGAAGCAGGCCAAATCTCGTTTGTCCCATTTTTCGCCAATGGCTGCGCTTTCATCAGCTCTTACTCAAAGAGAAGAAGATGAGTCAGGCCAAAATTACTCCTTTAAAAACTACAAGACTCCTTCCACCAAATTATATGTATTTTTTTCCCTAAAGTTCTTTTCGGGAGTTAATCGGGTGTGGCACAACCCCTAAAAAGTTAGGGATTGTGCCACACCCCATTAACTTACCTTCAGAGCATCCAAATCTTTGTCGTTTTCAAATTATTGCTATTTAAACTTTTCCTCCACATAGCAGAAACTTCATTCAAAATTGTTCCTCCTAGGAAAAGATATATTCGTTTTTCCTTAACTATGCAAATGGAAAACATCTCGAAAATATTGGATTGCGTAATGCTAAGTGTGCTCTACTACGCAATTGCGAGGGAAGGCGCAAGATCGAGTATATTCGATAGCTTGATTCTGGTAACATTTACGAAAGTGATTTGAGCCCGATTGGTCTTCTCTGTTCTGGGAGACTGAAAGCGAAAAATGGTACAAACGGATTTTGCCTTGCCCTTGATTCCACATTTCGGAGGCTGTTCGAAAAAACACTCCCAATGTGAGCAAAGAAGTAGTAGCATTTTGTAATGAGTGAAAAACGAGGTATAGTTCACTCACCTCTAAAACAAAGTAAAGATGTTCGAAAATGACCACCTTACCTGATGTCCCAATATTTGAAAACCTCAAAATTCGCTGAAACTTGGCTCACAGGGGTTATTTTACATGCTAATTACGAAAATGATGCCTTATGCTTTTTGAATTTTTTTCATCATGCTTGCTGTAGCGTGAGACGGTAGGCTAAAGCACCAGTGCATCTTGCACAATGATCTATCAGACATTGCTGACTGATATTATGTCGCTAACATCGCTTACACCTCGATAACGACCCCCCCCCCCTCCTCTTCCTTCCGCACCTCTACGACCCTAGGTGTGGCGTGCCGACTCCACGCTCGACCCTGACACTTTATGATATTCGAGCCCTAGAGAAATATACAACAAAAGAGATTGCCGCTATAATCTGCACATTTCGAAACTGCATATTCGATGGAATTTGTTATGACGGACTGAGACCAAACAATCATCTTTTGAATTTCTGCCGTTTATCGAACCATGAGAGTCTCCAATATTATTGTTGGTCTAAGATTTCTTATCACAAAGACATTGATCGGAAACACACAGCAAACACATTATTCTTAAGTGAATTCCAGAACTGCTGAATGCACAAAATGAATATGCATGAGAAGAACAGCAAGGACAATCCGTCTTCAGAAAACTTCTTCATCAAGGCGTATGCAAGGCCTTACTATCTGGCACATGTTTATGTCTTTTTTTCGGTCGTTGTGTCTCTCTTCTACAGAGCTAAATGTGTTGAATCATCAAGTGCATCGATTCGCAAAAAGTTTCTGCAGAGTTGTTGCTTGCTTTTCTTCCTTGCTTCACATTTTTAGAAATCTCGAAAACGCACCTAGCAGCGCTCTTCCGGCTTTCAATAACGGCCGAGAACCGCTCATAAAATTCTGGATGATGTTCTACATGAGTTGTAATAATGAAGGTGCCTTGGCTTTTTGCTTGTTGATTCTAGACGTGATTGAAAGAATCGCTTATACTGCATCTATATGAAAAATAAATTGGCTTTGACGATGCCCCT